AGAAATTAAACCCTAGTTGAAAAAAATACATGTATGCATAGATGCATGCGTACATACATACGTACACACACTTATGTACATACACACACGTACATGTGTATTTGCATGTGTATATGTATATATATATATATATATATATATATATATATATATATATATATATATATATATATATATATATATATATACATATATACATATATATATATATATATATATATATAATATATTGCTTGATATAATTTGATAAATATTTTTTAAACCCATCCTCTCTCCTTATCATTTCATTTTTTACTACACCCTGTATCATTCCTACACGTTCAGCCGCCCTCTCCTTCCCTCTTTCATCTTCCGCTCTTTCCAGCACAATAATTCACTTGCACGTTCAACAGGACGGGCCGCCCCACCAAGACACGCCACACGGTAAAATTACCACACAATTTGACGTCAATACCCACTGACCTCCGACGGGCCGGGGACGGGGAACTTTCGCCCTTACACACCACTTCGCAATGCCATCAGCGCAAACACATTATTCCACACGGGGACGAGAATAACCCCTCATTAAAGAGAATGCGCAAACACTCGAACCTTCCGCAGATTCAGTTGAAAGCGACTAATATTACGTCCTCAAAGGGCTACACAATCAAAGGTCATGAGAGAATTCCTTTGTGCTCTGTTTGTCCCGCACGGCGCTGATCCCGCGGTGGTGCTGCGTTGGGTAGACTCCCTGCTTAAAACAGCCAAATTAATCAGCATAAATCACCAGCGGTAAATCAGACACAAGAGATAAATGAATGAAGAAGTCAAGAAATTAACAAATAAAAAAAAATCAATAAGTAAATTACGAAATGAATGAGTAAAAGCAGAAATAAAGAATAGCGAAATAAATAAACAAATAGATATAGAAATAAAAAAGGAAAGAAACAAATGAATAAACGAATAAAGAAACAAAAGAGATACACATAAATAGATACATACACAGATAAAGAATAAAAAGCAAAAATAACCAGCCGTTGTATATCCGTAAAATAAACAGGCGACTTGCAAAGATAGCCAGCAGTTGTAAATCCAGAAAATAAATTAATAAAAGAATATAAAAATAGTCAGCTCTAGTAAAATGATAAATAAAAGGCGAAACAACAAGAGAGTAGTAAACAGCGGTAATACGAACCGACAACAAACAAGGAAATGTTGAAATATGCTGACATTTAAAGAAGTTTATTTGGCAAAATCAAAACCATATATATATATATATATATATATATATATATATATATATATATATATATATATATATATAAACAGAAGAATAAACATATGGCTAGAAAAAATATATGAATAGAAAAAAAAAATGAACAGAAAATGAAACGGATAACTAAGATAATGAGCAGTTTTAAATCCGTAATATAAACAGGGACAAATATCGAATAGAATAAATCAAACGATTTGTGTCAGAACGTTTAATACTTTCGCCGAATAATAAGCCAAATCAAGACAGAATAAGCTAGATTATCAAAACCGAAAAAGACTGAGACTTTCTTATTATACTGAGCTGTCTGGTTGCAAGAGGAGCAGAAGTTGCAAGAAAAGATGGAAAACAAAAACTATGATGTAAATTCTTAATTAAGGTAAACTCTGGCGCACACGGCGGTGAGGTAAGGACTTTGATAATGATGGTGATGGTGAAGATGATGATGAGATGAAGATGATGACTGATGATGATGATGGTGATGGTGGCGGTGGTGGTGATAGCAATGGTAATGGAGGTGATTGTGGTGGCGGTTATGGTGAAGATGATGTTTATGGTGATGGTCGTCGTGATGGTGATGGAGGCGATGATGGAGATAAAATGAAGATGGAGATGAAGATGATGGTGATAACAAGAAAAGCGATGATCAAGTGTAATAATACTAGTAAAGAAAATGACGTGGGGCAGTTACAATAATAATGATGTGATAATAAAATGACGATAAACATTATATTAAACTTAAACCATTCAAAAGATTTAGCAATGATTAAACGCCATATATTCAGATATATATATATATATATATATATATATATATATATATATATATATATAGGTATATATGATATATATATATATATATATATATATATATATATATATATAGTATATATATATATTATATATATATATATATATATATGATACATATATATATATATGTATATATAGTATACATATATATATATACATATATATACTATATATATATATATACTATATATATATATATACACATATATCAGCCGGATATATATATAAATAAACATTATCATATTAATTCTCCTTAAAACATTGAGTTCTTGTAGCTTTAAACTAATATATTAAAGGCTTATTTCACTCGCTTAACTGTAAGAACAAAACAACGAAAAGAAAAAAAAACACTACACAGACTATGCAAAATTACGTTTTATTCATTTTCTACGTAAATCGTAAACTCCTTAAAGGACAGACAAGTAATCCTTATCTGTATGCGACGTAACCTAGCGATTTTACTGTTAAAAAAAAGAATGGCATCTTTATATTTGATTTTTTCGTAGGGTTATCCCCCCCTCATTCGAACACTGCAATTTGTATTCATATATAATTTATCATTTACAGTTTTTCATCTTTTAGGTCAGAACTTAAATTGATAGTCACTTTTGATATTTATATTCAAGGGCACAGAGCTTGATAGACACAAAAGGACAAACAACCGCTTTTCAAAAAATAAAAATAAAAAATAATAAAACATTGACAAACTGAAAAATATTTTTAAAAATATCTGACCCAATTTTTTCGCGTGTATTTAATCCCCATTGTTATATTTCACAGGCAACTGGATGGGATATAGAGGATACATGGAGAGCCATTGCATCGGCTGTCCGTGAATTGAGTGCGCGCGTGTGTTTGTTTCCTTATAACGGAATTGAGATGGAGAAAAAAAATAAGGAAGAGGAAGAGAGAGATTATAACGGAATTGAGACAGAGGGAAAAAAATAAGGAAGAGGAAGAGAAGGAGGAAGAGGAAGAGGGAAAGGCACAGGAACAAAAATAAGAATAGGAGGAGGAAGAAAAGGAGTAAGGAAGCAAAAGGAAGGCGAGGGTGAGAAGGAAAAAGGCAAAATACATGCATATAAAACACAAGAACACATAAACATGAATAAATGATAGATTAATATATGCATGAATAGATACGCAAGACGAGATGAAAAATTGCTGGACAAACAGAAAGGAGGGCGGTGGAGGACGAAGGGGAGAAGAATGAGCAGGAGGAGAAGGAGAAGGAGGAAGAGAGGAGGAGGGGAAGGAGGAGAGGAGGAGAAGAAGAAGAAAGTGGATGAGGAGGGGAGGAAAAGATGGAGAAGGAAGAAGAGATGGAGGAGGAACAATACGAAAAGGAAGGAATGAGTAAGGAAAGGAGGAAGATTTGGAAGAGAAGGGAAAACAAGACGAAGATATTACAAAAAAAAAAGAAAAAAAATCGCAGATAAAGACGGAAAAGAAACAGGGAAGGAAGAAATAAGAGAATAAGAGAAATCGAAACAAACAGATCCTTTCCTGCGCCCGACCAGCGAAGGTTCCCGGGGCAGATAAAACGTTATATGGGACGATAAAGATATTTGGGATAGAAAGAGAGAAAAAAGAGAGAGGAGAGGGAGGAGGAGGAGGAAGGGCAGACGATTGAGAGAAAGAAAGATAAAATGTACAGATAGAGAGAAAACAGTTAGACTTCTGATTTCTTTAATCAAGAGAAAAAAAAACGCATCGTGATTGAACCTCGGGAGAGAAACCTGAGAATCTTCCTTACCTGCGAGAGGTTGGTGTCCGGTCAGCACGGAAGAAGAAGAAGAAGAAGAAGAAGAAGAAGAAGAAGAAGAAGAAGAAGAAGAAGAGAAGAAGAAGAAGAAGAAGAAGAGAAGAAGAGAAAACTAAATCTTCCTTACCTGCGAGAGGTTGGTGTCCGGTCAGAAGAAAAATGAGAGAGAAAAGAAAAAGTTAGACCAGAAAAGAAAGAAAAAACAAACAAAAGAAAAAGTGCATCATGATTATCCCTCGGGAGACAGCGAGAACCTCTGAGAGAGAGAGAGAGAGAGAGAGAGAGAGAGAGAGAGAGAGAGAGAGAGAGAGAGAGAGAGAGAGAGAGAGAGAGAGAGAGAGAGAGAGAGAGAGAGAGAGTGCGAATGAGAATGAGAGAGAAGTGCGAGAGATGAGAGAGAGAGCGAATAAGATGAGAGAGAGAGAGAAACAGAGAGACAGGCAGACAGAGAAGCAGAGAGAGAGGCAGAGAGAGAAGCAGAGAGAGAGAGGGGGGGGGGGGAGAGAGAGAGAGAGAGAGAGAGAGAGAGAGAGAGAGAGAGAGAGAGAGAGAGAGAGAGAGAGAGAGAGAGAGAGAGAGAGAGAGAGAGAGAGAGGCAGAGAGAGAGAGAGAGAGAGAAAGAGAAAGAAGAAAGAGAGAGAAAGAAAGAGAGAGAGAGAGAGAGAGAGAGAGAGAGAGAGAGAGAGAGAAGAGAGAGAGAGAGAAGAGAGAGAGAGAGAGAGAGAGAGAGAGAGAGAGAGAGAGAGAGAGAGAGAGAGAGAGAGAGAGAGAGAGAGAGAGAGAGAGAGAGAGAGAGAGAGAGAAGAGAGAGAGAGAGAGAGAGAGAGAGAGAGAGAGAGAGAGAGAGAGAGAGAGAGAGAGAGAGAGAGAGAGAGAGAGAGAGAGAGGAGAGAGAGAGAGAGAGAGAGAGAGAGAGAGAGAGAGAGAGAGAGAGGAGAGAGAGAGAGAGAGAGAGAGAGAGAGAGAGAGAGAGGAGAGAGAGAGAGAGAGAGAGAGAGAGAGAGAGAGAGAGGAGAGAGAGAGAGAGAGAGAGAGAGAGAAGAGAGAGAGAGAGAAGAAGAGAGAGAGAGAGAGAGAGAGAGAGAGAGAGAGAGAGAGAGAGAGAGAGAGAGAGAGAGAGAGAGAGAGAGAGAGAGAGAGAGAGAGAGAGAACCTAAGAATCTTCCTTACCTGCGAGAGGTTGGTGTCCGGTCAGCACGGGTTCACAGGTCACCGGGTGAAGCCAAGTGGTCAAACGAGCCTCCTCACTGCAACACACAAACATTGCACTCGGGTCAATTTGGTCGTCGGGAAAACAAGGTCGTTTGGAGGATATAAAATCGTCGGGTCACAAGGTCGTCAGAAGGACACAAGGTTGTCGTAAAAAAAAAGTCTTCGGGTAGAAACAAGGTCGTCGGAAAACAAGGTCCTCAGGTGGAAACAAGGTCATTAGGAAGCAAAGTTGTCGCTAAACAAGTTCCTCGGGTGAGAACAAAGTCGTCGGAAAACCAAATCGTTAGAACGAAACAAAGTCCTTAGGAGGAAATAGGGTCGTCGGAACATAAGGTCAATAGAAGAAAACAAGGTCGTCGCTTGGGACAGTGGGAGGGCGGTAGAGGAGGGAGACACGACCTAGGGTAATGTCTTTTTTTCAGCGTCGGCCGATGGGGTTCGGCCGTGTTCTGCCTCGGGCTCGGTGACGTTAGCAGGATGAAATTCTTCTGATGGCTGGATTCTAGTGATTTTTCATTACTGTCGTTTTTATAAGTGTCTGTCTATGGATAAACTCTTTGAGTCTATATCTTTATTTCAGTATTTCTAAAAAGTAGGAACAGCTTCAGATAAAAGCAGTCGAGGAACCTAGGAAGCATGATTATTTGCGTTTGCAAAAGGTAAATAAAAAAGAAAATAATAGTAATAATAATTCACGTTTTCTTTTAATTCAAGACGTTTTTTCAGTCACCACTTATCCATGGCATTCCACAATGCAGTCAGGGATCATTCAAGCAAGCTACGCGACTCCCTACAACAAGAAAGAAGAGCGCAAAAAATAAACAATAACAGCAACAGCAGGAGCAGTAACCGGTCGGGAAGCGGTCGCCACGTGCGCCCTGGCCCGCCCTCCGCTCGCGACACCTGCTAGATGTCAACTGCTGGCGAGCCAAGGGATCCTCAAGGTAGCTCCGGCCTCGCACTGTTACCAACCGCCAGACGCACCCAGGGATACCTGCATTATCGACACACTTTTAGATATCGACTAATGTTCAAGTTTAAAGTTTCCTTTCCGCATGGGAATTAACTAAGCGTCTATATTTTTCTCTATGAAGCTAGATAGAAGCGCAAAAACAATAAACAAAAAGGGACATTATCGACCTGGATAATGAATCTACTTTTTTGCATGCGGGAGTCTCTCCCTTGTATGGCGTATTCAAAAGTACACAATGCATTGGACAAAACTATCTCGGGATGCACAATACACCCCTTTATTGAAGAAGAAGAAAAAGGATTATATTTAAAAAACCAACAAAGTAAATAAATGTTAAGGAGTGCTGAGTGCCGGTGTGTGGCACCATTGCGCGGGAGAGCGGGAGGAGCGGCTAGCGTAACCACCCTCCTTTTGCCGGCACCTGATGCACCTTGTTGCTCTCCTTCTCACCCTCACTTATCCCCCCCCCTTGCCCTTGCTTCCTATCCCCTCTTGGGTTCGACTCTTTCTCATCTTGCTTCCACTATTGTTCGCGCTTCCTTTCCCTCTTGCCTCGCTTCTTCCCCCTCATCCTCGCTTCTTTCTCTCGCCCTCACTTTTTCCCCTTCTTTCCTTCGGTTCTTTCCCCTCTCATTCTCGCTTTTTCCCCTCTGAATCTCTTTTCCCCTCTTGCCTTTGTTTCTTTCCCCTCTTTTCCTCGCTTCTTTCCCATATGACCCTCACTCTCACCTCCGCTTCTTTCTCCTCTCGCCCTCACTTCTTTCCTCTTTCATCCTCGCTTCTATCCCAACTTACCTTTGTTTCTTTCTCCTCTCACACTTATTTCATTCCCCTCTCCCTCACCTTACCCTCTTATCCTCACTTCTTTCTCCTCACACTTTTATTTCTTTCCCCTCTCACCTTTGCTTCTTTTCCCCTCTCATCCTCACCTCTCCTCACTTCTTTCCCTTTCCCTCTGCTTTTCCCCTCTCATCTCACTTTTTCCCTCTCATCTCACTTCTTTCCCCCCTTCCCCTCACTTCCCCTTCTCACCTTTGCTTCCCTCTCATCCTCACTTCCTTCCCCTCTCACCCCCACTTCTTTCCCCTCTCACCTTTGCTTCTTTTCTCCTCTCATCTCTTCTTTCCCCTCTCATCCTCATTTTCTTTCCCTCACCTTTGCTTCTTTTCCCCTCCTCCTCACTTCCTTCCCTCTCAATCCTCACTTCTTTCCTCTCACCTTTGCTTCTTTTCCCCTCCATCCTCACTTCCTTCCCTCTCACTCTCACTTCTTTCCCTCTCTCACTTTGCTTCTTTTCCCTTTTTCCCCTTCATCCTCACTTCTTCCTCTCCCCTCTCACTTCTTTCCCCTCTCACCTTTGCTTCTTTTTTCCCCTCTCCATCCTCACTTCTTTCCCCCCTCTCACCTTGCTTCTTTTCCCACCCTCTCAACTCTTTTCCCCTCTCACCTTTGCTTCTTATCCCTCTATCCTCACTTCCTTTCCTCTCACCTCACTTCTTTCCCCTCTCACCTCACTTCTTCCCCTCTCACCCCACTTTTTTTCCCCTCTCACACCTTTGCTTTCTTTCCTCTCATCCTCTCTTCTTTCCCCTCTCACCTTTGCTTCTTTTCCCTCTCATCCTCATTCTCTTCCTCTCACCACTTCTTTCCCCTCCCCTTTGCTTTCTTTTTCTCCTCTCATCCTCACTTCTTTCCCCTCTCATCCTCACTTCTTTCCCCTCTCACCTTTGCTTCTTTTCCCCTCTCATCCTCACTTCTTTCCCCTCTCGCCCTCACTTCTTTCCCCTCTCACCTTTGCTTTCTTTTCCTTCATCCTCATCCCTCACTTCTTTCCCTCTCCCTCACTTCTTTCCCCTCTCACCTTTCTTCTTTCCCCCTCTCATCCTCCTCTTTTTTCCTCTCTCCTCACTTCTTCCCCTCTCATCCTCAATTCTTTCCCTCTCACCTCACTACTTTCCCCTCCCTTTGCTTCTTTCCCCTCTCATCCTCACTTCTTTCCCCTCTCACCTTTGTTTCTTTTTCCTCTCGCCCTCACTTCTTTCCCCTCTCATCCTCACTTCTTTCCCCTCTTATCCTCATTTTCCCCCTCTCATCCTCACTTATTTCCCCTCTCACCTTTGCTTCTTTCCTCCTCTTCCTCATCCCTCTCCTCACTTCTTTCCCTCTTCACCCTCACTTCTTTCCCGTCTCACCCTCACTTCTTTCCCCTCTCACCTTTGCTTCTTTCCCTCTCACTCTCTCATTCTTTCCCCTCTAATCCTCACTTCTTTCTCCTCTCACCTTTGCTTCTTTCCCCTTTCACCCTCACGTCTTTCCCATCTCATCCTCACTTCTCTTTCCTCTCATCTTTGCTTCTTTCTCCTCCCGCCCTAACTTTTTCCCCACATCCTCGCTTCTTTACCCTTTTCCAATCGCTTTTTACCCCTTTCACCCTCGCCTCTTTCCCCTCTCCTCTCATTCTCACTTCTTTCCCCTCTCGCCCTCGCTTCTTTCCCCCCTCACCTTTCGTTCTTTCTCCTCTCGTCCTCACTTTTCCCCCTCTCATTCTCACTTTTTTCCCCTCTCACCATTGCTTCTTTCTCCTCTCGCCCTCACTTTTTTGCCATCTCGCCCTTACTTTTCCTCCTCTTATAGTGAAGAAAATAACGCCGGGAATTGCTAGTATAAAAAATGAAGGTCAGGTGTGAAGTAATTTTGCGATGATGTTATCGCTTCTCGGAAAATCTTCATCCACACACACGCACACACTCATGCGCGCGCGCACACACACACACACACACACACACACACACACACACACACACACACACACACACACACACACACACACACACACACACACACGCACACACACACGCACACACGCACACACACACACACACACATATACACAATTACATACACATGCACAAACTAAAGTTTATACATCTATAATCACACATACACGTTAGCACATATATGGACACATTGTATATACATATATAAATACACATAAAAACACACACATAAACAAAGCACGAACATGTTTAGATTCAAACAAACAAACAAAACACACAACCTATCCCGATTTACGTCATTTTTTCAGTACCGTTCGTTCGTTTTATAATTAATTGACCTTTGGCTCCATGCATGAAGACGCAAAGAAAATCCATTGAACTGTGTTATTTGTTGATTTTTTTTTCTTTTTACTCGTTAATCGATGATCCTTGATTCTCGACCCTTATGGTCTTTTCTCCTTTTCTTTCGCTTTCCTTCCTCTCTAGCTCTCTATTTTTCTCTCTCTCTCTCTCTCTCTCTCTCTCTCTCTCTCTCTCTCTCTCTCTCCTCTCTCTCTCTCTCTCTCAGATTCTGTCGACCTTCCCCCCCTCTCTCTATCTCGTGTTCTCCTCTCACTTTCACGCTCTCTCTTTTTTTTATATTTGTCCCTCTCTCTCTCTCTCTCTCTCTCTCTCTCTCTCTCTCTCTCTCTCTCTCTCTCTCTCTCTCTCTCTCTCTCTCTCTCTCTCTCTCTCTCTCTCTCTCCTTCCTACACTTCTAGTTCTCTCTAGTTCTTGTCGTACTCTTGCTTTCCCTCACATTCTTTCTCCCTCATTTTCGTTCATGTTTTACCTCTCGTTCTTTCATTCTTGTTTTCCCTCTCTTTTCCATCTCTTTCCCTTTCTCCCTCCAATTTTCATCTAATTATCATTTAATTATCTCTGATTATTGTTCCTGTCATTTTCGTTTCCACCCAATCTCACTCTCGTGTTAATCTAATCAAATATTTGGAAAAGTATCAGCTTTATAAAAATAATGATAAATAAACAAACAGTTTGTTTAAGTGGGGGGGGGGGGGGTGCATGTGCATGTATGTCTGCATGTACATATATCGTGAGTGCGTTTCTGCGTGCGTGTTCGTGAGTACATGTGCGTCGCAAACTTACCATGAAAAAAAAGCAAGCGCATCGCTGAGAACTAAAACGACATACAGAACAGCAATCGAGAACCATCCAGCAAGAACAAGCGAAGCAAGACATAAAATGTTTACATGACTCGTACACCGGCGTCGAGAGCATAAAAGGG